CTCTGAGGCGGGTCTGAGGCTCGGGCGTGGCCGTCAGCCGGCCTGACTCTGTCGCGGGGCCGGACGAGGGACCGCCGTGGCCGGGGCCCACCTTAGCCCGCGGACGCCGGTGGCGGGGGCTGAGCTGATGGGTCCGATTCAGGTGAGTGCTGCGCCCTGCGCTCCGTCACCCAGCACGTCCCATTCTGCAGTATTTTTGTTCTTATCAGTGTGTGCTTATGAATGTCCTTTATTTACATTTATCCTTTCAAGGCTTGGTTTTTCGCATTTCGAAATATGACGTGCTTTTAAAAAGTGCACAGAACGTCCATATTGCAGTTGAATAACCAGCTCTGAAATTAGTATCTTTCGCCGCTGAAGTCAAGAAACGTGATATAAATAGGATTCCAGAAGCCATCTGTGCGGTCTTCCCAAAAGAGTTATCTCCATCCCCGAAGTTAGGGTATTGTCTGATGTTACAAGTTAGCATTTTCTTGCCTTTTATATATATAGTTTTGTCAACCATGCGGAAAATATTCAACGACTGTAGTTTAGTTTTGCTCGCTTGTTTTAAAACTTTATGAATGGAATCATATAAGTATCATGATGTGTTTTTCTTGGCACAGTATTATGTGATCTTATCCATGTATTCCATGGCTATCCATTCATTTTCCTTTTTGTGCGGTATTCTGTAGTATGAGCATATGAGTAAAACGTCATAATAAATTCTCCTGTTGAAGAATTTTCTTTGTTTATGGGTTTGGTTATGGTTTTTTTGGTCTATGTTTTCTGTATTTATCAACATTGCCACTGTAGTATCAGCCATGTGTTCTAGCATATACTCAGCATACATTTGTCTAGCATGTTAAAATTAATATTGTACTTAAATGAGCATTTCCATTTTTTGATCTTGTTTTGCTCCATGTTACTGATTTTAACTCAGCTCTTTGAAATTATTATACTTATTCGTAATCTATTCCATAGTTATATTTTGATAGACATTTACACATTACGTAAATTGACTGTTTTATAGTATACAGAGGGTTTTTGTTTTTAAGAGATTGTACTTTTCCAGTAATGTTTATATTACTGTTAAATAACCTCTGGTGATATTGCAAGAGGAAATGGTTAGGATATTTTGTTAAAATACTTGTTTTAAGGGGGCAGAAATGATAAAAAATTATAATGCTTCAAAACCATAACAGGATATTTAGAACCCAAGAAGATGTTTTTATGTTTATATAATTAGAATGGGATAGAGGTCCTATAGCTTGTTTCTTTTCTCTTAAGTTTAAGCAGTCAGAAATCCCAAGTTATCCCGAACTGCTGGAGGCACTTTTACTGTGATTCTAGCAACAATCCCTTTATCAGAGGTTCATTTAGAATGTGAAGTCTATCACACTCGGAGAGAACAGCATGTAAGAAATTACAGATAACCTCTCTAAACATTTATGGAAAATTTTTAGCATCAAAAAATATAGATAAACATAAAAAGTACATAATCCTGAATTGTTTGTATAATGTTATAATAATTTCAAAACAATTTAATCTGTAAATTATGTAAGCTGGAATTTAATATAAAAGTAATTTTTACTATAACCAGAGTAAAATTTGAAAAGGAAGTATAAGAATTCTTGGCCAGCTGTTAGGACCAACTATGAGCTATGGGAAAAGAAGAATGTATTATTGGTGAGGGAGAAACATTACGGGGGGAATCAAGGAAGTGTCAGAGATAAGATAACTCTCTCTATATATATATGTATATGTGTGTATATATATATACACACACACAAAATAGATAACAAGGTCCTGCTAGATAGCACAGGGAACTATGTTCAGTATTCTGTAATAAACCATAATGAAACAAAAAGGAAGTGTCTGAAACAGACATGTACAATAAAATGAGACTTAATTTTGATATTTGTGGCTCAAGATTATAATAGTACTGTATGACCTGCCACAACCATTTTCTCCCCAACACCATCCCTTATTCTTCTGGCTCACTAGGCTCTAGTCACACTAACCTCATGATTGCTACTCAGACACATCCAGCATGACCCCAACAGAGAGGCTTTGCACCTGTTTCTCCCACTGCGGGAAAGCCTTTTCTCGAGATACCCACTTGACTTGACAGCACAACTCCATAACATTTTCTGCCCTCTTCTATGTGCTTTACTTTACTTTGCACCTTTATCTTCACCTGAAATATTAGGTGGTTCACGCATGTATCTTTTTTTGTCTGTGTCATGGTTGGGAATTCAGTGACGTGACCCTGCTCTTCCTGCAGGTTCCACGTTCAGCAGGACCACTTATGGCCCCTGCACTGGTGAGTGTCACGTGTCCTGGAACTCTTTTTGCTCCCACTCTTCCTGGCCTAGGTGTCTGGACACCCTAGAGAAACCCTAAGCCCGGTTCCTAAGTCCAGGCCACATGTTATATGGAGAGATTCCCCACGTTTGGCAACCTGCAGGCTGAGATGTGAAAGGTGTCCTAGGTATGGGGGTTAGTATGCACCAGTGCTTGGAGATGAGGTGGAGATGGGCGTGTTCTAGGCCTTGGAGGCGTCAGCTAGTGTCTGGTGAGAATAGAGAGCAAGGGAGCAAGTGTCAGGCCTGGAATGGTAGCCTGAGAAGTGCGGTTCCTGTTCTGAGAGTGATGGCAGCCATGGAGTTTTTGGAACAGAGGAGAAAAATGACCTGACTTAGGTTCTAACGGGCTACCCCTGGCTGCCGAGAGAACAGACTGGGGGAGAGGAAGACAAGGAGATCATGGAGGAGACTGTTGCATCTATCCAGAGGAGCACTGGTTGTGGCAGGACCAGAGTGGTGTATTATATTATTATATAATAATATGTGATATGATATTAGTGCATTATATTGGTGGATGTAGAGGTAAGAGAAATACTTGTTGGCTCCTGAATTTGTTTTTAAAGTAGGGGCTGACCCGAGTTTCTAATGTGGAGGGGTCACAGATGACTCCAAAGTTTTTGCCCTTTGCGTCCGGATGGTTGGGAGGGCCATCAACTCAGATGAGGAAGTCAGTGGCAGGAGTACTTTTCAGTGAGAATATTAGGAATTGGGTTTTGGCCACGCTGAGTTTCAGATGGTCCAGAGACTCCCAAGTGTAGGAGACAAGTGGACAGGTGAACATGCAGGGCTAGAGTGCTGGGGAGGGCTTCAGGTTGCTATCAGGGGACAAGGGAGGAGAGGGGGGCTGTGGATGTCACAAAGACATACAAGAGTAATGGTAATCAGCAGGAGGGGAGGGGAAAGTCCAGCACGTGGTCAAGGTTTTCATGAGGGCGTGGCTGTGAAGTTGACGCAGAGGGAAAACAGTAAAGGAGGTGGGGTGATAGCAGAGTCAGGCTGGTGCTTATTCACCCTCTCCGGCACCCACCAGGTTTTTGTCAGAACGTCAGATAGTTTACCTAAGGTGCGTCAGGTGGGTGTGGACTTTGAATGGTGTTATGTGGACAGAGATTGTAACTGGTGAAGAGACAGGATGTGCAGTATAGAAGTGGAACCTGACCAGGGGTGTTTAGATCTGCATGCTGTGACTGAGGTTGAAGTCGGGAACAAGGCCTCTTCAGAACAGGACTAGGGGGTGCACAGTAGGATCCTGTTGCACTTGCCAAGCCCTTTTTGAATGCTCTGTGTGGGTGGGTATGTGAGGAGGCCAGAGAAATGCCGATTTTGTGGGCCTGGTGGTGGTGATGGGGTCAGGAGTATGAGGAGGTCTGGTGAGTAATATGCACACGGAGGAGGTGTGTGAATGAACTGCCCTGGGGCCCTGGCACTAGGAGCTTAAGAGAAAAGGATGGACCCAGGTGTGTTTGTGTCTGGGAGATGTGGTCGTGGGGACTCTCAGGCGCTTATCTTGCAGGAAAGGGGGGCCTGTACAGCAGGCCCAGAGCTTAGATGGCCTCTCTCTGTCCCCCTGCCTGTGGTTGCTGAGAGTTGGACCTAGTGATTAAGGAGGCATGGAGAGGCTGGGTACCACTACCCTTGAAGCTGGGGAGCTGGGGAGGAGGATGAGGGCAGAGTGAATATGGGCTGG